CTAATTTTCATCATGTCTGTGATTTGTGCTTTGTGGGGAGGTTGTATGTGCATCCAGGTGCCTGTGGAAACCAGAGGTGTCCGATACCCTAGAGCTGGATTACGGATGGTTGTAACCCTCATGTGTGGGTATTGGGGATCAAAGTTGGGACCTCTCTGAGAGCAGCTGGTGCTATAACCATGGAACTGTTGCTCCAGCCACAGATGGGACTTTTCTACATAGGTGCAGGGGTTGAGTCTCAGGTCCTTGCACCTGCACAGTAGGCACTCTTGCTGCTGAGCTGTCACCCCTGTTCTTTACATACTGTTTATACATGTCAGAGTACACCTCTTGGCCATGGAGAGGTGCACTGCCTCCTCCATAGTTCCTGCTGTGGGTCTGTCAGTCCTGCACTGTGTGTGTGTGTGTGTGTGTGTGTGTGTATGAGAGGAGAGAGAAAGAGAGATTTTCCTTTTGATACAGAAATTGTGACATGAAAGGAACAGAATTTGTGACATAAAAGGAAACATTCTGAGGTATAGTCCTCACCATCTGTCTCTAGAAAGTTCCTGCCCCATTATACTCTGCCGTCCCCAATCCCCTGGCACATGCCTGCCCCCCCCCCACACACACACTTCCTCTCTCTGGTTCTGATAACTGAAGGGATAAGGAGCTCCTAGGAGTGGGACCTGTGATGTGTGTGGCTCACATCACCATCCCAGAATTTGAGAGCACCAAGGTACATAGGAGAGTCCCATCTGGAACCAGGACTGTCCAGTTGCTGACCCAGCCTGGCCCTGCCTTCCAGATGTCAGTCTCCAAACGAGCTCGGAAAGCCTCCAGTGACCTGGATCAGGCCAGTGTGTCCCCATCGGAAGAGGATTCCGAGAGCCCATCAGAGTCGGAGAAGACCAGCGACCAGGTGAGTGGAAAACAGCCCCAAGGACATCCTGGCATGGCAGCCAGCACCCATGACACTCCTGTCTCTTCACCTAGGACTTTACCCCGGAGAAGAAGACAGTGGCCCGGGCACCACGGCGGGGTCCTCCAGGAGGACGAAAGAAGAAGGTAAGGGTACTGTGCCTGAGAGGCCATTAGCAGCCTGAAGGGCCTTCTGTGGCAGGGGTTTCTGGGTACCCAGATGTGCATTGATGCCCCTGGGGCCTGTGGGTCATTGCTGCTCCTCCCAAGGGACCCTACTATCAGGGTTGGAAAATCAGGTCCTGTGTGCTGGAATGTGGCATCAAAAGTCATATGTGCTGTGTGCATGTGGGAGTACAAGGACATGGGTTTATAAGGTTGCTTGTGCATGTACAGGTGTGTTCATGAATCTGTGACCATGTGTGTGATGTGGACAGTACATGTTTTACTGTGGTGTGAGTGCAGTGGGAGAACTGGGCAGTAGGAGGGAAGAAGGAGGCCTAGCCTCCTATGCAGGTTTTCAGTGCACACCTGCCCTGGAAACCCCCTGGGCTTGGCTCTGATCCATCTCCAGGAGCCATCCAAGGTGTCCAGTACCCATGTTCCTGCTGTGGGTAAGGCACAGAACTGTGTCCCTTGGGGACTGCAGCTGCCTCTGCCCCCTCATCCTCACCCTGTGCGACACCCCCACTGGCTCTGCCTGTCCCCAGAAGGTGCCTTCTGCCTCGGATTCAGACTCCAAAGCTGACTCAGATGGGGCCAAGGAGGAGCCTATGACTGCAGCACGGCCATCCCCATCCTCCTCGTCCTCTTCATCCTCCTCCTCTGACTCAGATGTATCTGTCAAAAAAACCCCTCGAGGCAGAAAGCCAGGTAAGGCCTGAGCCAGCCTGGATGGCGCCCTGGGAGGCCATGGAGAGAAGGTCACCCCTCCTTTTCCACAGCTGAGAAGCCACCCCCCAAGCCCCGAGGGCGGAGACCAAAGCCAGAACGGCCACCTTCCACCTCCAGCAGTGACAGGTGGGTGTCAGCTGGTAATGTGGGGGCGGCAGGGTATACTAGAGTCCCTGCTGATGGACTTTCCATGACAGTGACAGTGACAGCGGAGAGGTGGACCGCATCAGTGAGTGGAAGCGGCGCGATGAGGAGCGAAGGCGTGAGCTGGAGGCAAGGAGGCGACGGGAGCAGGAGGAGGAGCTCCGGCGACTTCGAGAGCAAGAGAGGGAGGAGAAGGAGCGCCGCAAGGAGCGGGCAGAGCGTGAGGGCAGTAGTGGGGAAGAGCTGGAAGACAACGAGCCTGTGAAGAAACGCAGCCGCAAGGCCCGGGGCCGGGGCACACCGTCTTCCTCTGACTCAGATCCGGAGGGGGCGCTTGGGAAAGAGGTGCATGGTGCCTCCTCTTCACCCTGGGCTCTACTTCTTTATTGAGCACCTCGTGGGTCCTGGGGTTCATCCTGGGTGCTGGAGATACGGAGGTAACACAGAGCCCAGGGCCCCAACCATAGGAGCTAGGGACAGCCAGTCAAGGGTCCTTCCAGACTTGCCTGTCACATGGAGCCCTGGATTCCATACCTCTTGGAAGACCAGGGAAGCTGTAACCCACATATGCTGGGGGGGGGGGGGGTGAGACAGGCTGCTCCTGAAGCAGCAACCCTGTCCTCTGGCTGCTGTAGGGAAAGAAGTTGGCCAAGAAATCTCAACTGCCAGGCTCAGACTCTGCAAGGAAGTCTGGGCAGAAGGAGAAGAGAGTGCGACCAGACGAGAAGCCACGAGCCAGGTTAGCCCATTCTGAGCCCTGGACCTAGTTCTTCTTCCTTCAGCCTAGTTGTTAAGTTCAGCCTTGGAGTCACGTCTATCCAAGGGCTCCAGCTCATAGGGCCACAGTCTTCCCTGGGGCCATGTGTGGCAGTCAGACTAGGCCAGCAGCACCCTGCAGAGCCCAAGACCCAAATAGCTATCCAACCAGTGTCCATAGCACCCAGGGAACACCATGCCCAGCATGGTGGCTTTAACTCTGAGCCTGCAAGTGGAGAAAGGCAGTTCTTCTCTGCTCTCTAAGTGTCCCAACTATTACTGATCAGAACTGCCCATGGGGACCAGCAATTTGGCACAATGGCCACACAGCAGGGGGTGTGATGTGTTCACTGGGCTCTTTATAGTTAGTCTGGTGCACAGAAGCAGAGTAGGGTCCCAGGCACCTAGCCTGGCTATCTGTCCTCACCTTGGGCCTCCCAAAGTGGCTTGTCTGAAGGGAGCCTCTCCATAGGCCTGTGAAGGTAGAGCGGACGCGGAAGCGGTCAGGGGGCCTCTCACTGGACAGGAAAGGGGAGAAGAAGAAAGGTAAGCACTAACATGGTGCAGGATTCCATGGCTCTATGGTGGTGGAAGGGGCTGGGTCACCTGGTAGCCAGGGCCGGAACACCCTGCTCAAGCCAGCATCTCTCCTACCCAGAACCTTCCGTAGAGGAGAGACTGCAGAAGCTGCACAGCGAGATCAAATTTGCACTGAAGGTGGACAACCCAGTAAGACACCTGCTGCGCAGCCACAGGGTCACAACCCCATGCTGTCCTAATGGGTGCTTTCCTTAGCCACCACCTTTCAGGCTCCTTGGAAGTCTTGGGAAACTGAGGCAGGGTCCCCCAGCTGGAAGAGTGGTTTCAGAGTGGACTAGGAGGAGACTCCACCCCCGCTCCCATATCCTGTGATCTCCTCTGGGGACAGCAGACATCATCCTAGGAGACAGCCAGAGTTACCTCCCCACTCTTCCTGCCCTGCAGGACGTGAGGAGGTGTCTGAATGCACTGGAAGAGCTGGGGACTCTGCAGGTGACGTCTCAGATCCTTCAGAAGAACACAGATGTGGTAGCCACACTGAAGAAGGTATGACATGGGTCTCTGGGGCACAGAACCTGGAAGATGGTGATGGTGTCCAATGGGAGGACTTGGGCACAGCCAGCAGCCCTGCTAAGCTTGGCCTCCTGTTGGCCAGATTCGCCGGTACAAGGCCAACAAGGATGTGATGGCGAAGGCGGCAGAGGTCTACACTCGACTCAAGTCTCGGGTCCTAGGGCCAAAGGTTGAGGCTCTTCAGAAGGTGAACAAGGCTGGAGCCGAGAAAGATCGCGTTGATGTCGAGAAGGTGGAGGAGCAGCCTGGGGAGCAGGCTCCCAGAGAGCTGGTGGAGGATGAGCCCAGCACCGGTGAGGGCTGCCTGCACCCAGCTAGAGGGACAGATGGGGACTGCACCATGTTCACCCCCAGCAAGCTTACTAGACCCAACCACATTCTGGGATAGCTGGCATAGGGTGTCCCAACTCCACTGGGTGCCAGCAGTTGGGTGTTGGCAGTGCTCTGTAGGCCACAGCACTTAACATGTGCGCTGCTTGTAAGCCTGACTGCAGCTGGACGAGGAGTGTCCTAATGAGAGGCAAGCATTGTGCTCATATGACCCTATCACCCTAGATCTCTCAGCACCTGTGAATGGTGAGGCCACATCCCAGAAAGGGGAGAGCACAGAAGAAAGAGCACAGGAAGACGGGCAGGACTTGGAGGACGGCCCACGGGGGGGCTCCTCGGAAGAGCTGCATGAGTGAGTGTCCCTGGGGCATTCCCTGCATGCTGTGGCCCATCCTACCACATGCTAGGGCCAGCCAGCAAGTACACTGTGGCCCACATCAGGCCACCCCAGACTTCTAGCAACTGGTGCTCTGGAGTGGGGGGAGCTTCCTGCTGACTATCCAGGGGCGGCCCTGGTGGCCACCATGAGCACCGGCCACTGGACAGGGCTACAGTTGGCTTGGGGAAGGTCAGGAAGGCCACACCAGGTAACTGCATCCTAACTGACCTTTGCTGTGCCCCCAGCAGCCCTCGGGACAGCTCCGACCCCGCCAGGACTGGAAGTGAGCATCAGGAACATGAGAGGGTACGGCTGGCCTCCGAGTCTGCTGATGATGACGAGGACAGCTGAGCTCCAGCCACCATGGCCATGGTGCCATGTCCGTCCCCAGCCTCCCAGGGAAGTGCTGCACTGTTTGTATTTGTAGCCTGGGCCTTTCTGCCTAGTTCTGTGATTTCGATTGACATGAAATGGCTATAAAGGGTTTTGTAATGAAAAAGAAACAGCTTTATTGGCTTGGAGTCCTGATGTGAAATGCAACTGGGCTAGGGCCAGGGCATTATGCCTGAGGTACCAGCCACCGTGAGCAGAATGAGGAGCCAGGCCTGGTACAGGGCAGGGTTCACACTTAAAGTCTAGCAGAGAGCTTCGTGCAGTGTGGCCCGTTCCATCAGCATGAGTGGAACAGACACTAAGGACAGGCTAACGGGAGATTATGCCCTGACTCAACCACCTTCCCATCCCCAGTTATGGTGGTACCCCCAAGTGGGACCAGCATAGTATCTCTGGAGCAGCCCAGCATTTGTGTTGGAGTGTTGTGGTTCACACCTCCCAGCCTGCTTTCTATTTGACTTTGAGCAGTGGCTATTCTATTCTACTATGTTCCCTGTGGGCTCAGGTTGGGTATATGCCTCCTAGTGTGTCCACCTGCCTCCATGGCCACCAAGAACTGGGCATGATATAGTGAAGCTCATCTTTTGGAGGACGTAGTTGCAGGCCCGTGGGGTCTTAGTCTAGTGTTGCACCCTGATGCTGACATGGCAGAGGGAAAGGCTCAGGAAAATCCTTGCCATCTTCATCATGGCATTTCTAGGCCACAAGCTGGCCCAAACTTGGAACTCAAGGGTGTTGTTACTTTCCAAGAGTGCAGATTAAAGGAAGCTGAAAGGTTGGGAGTTGCTAACATTTTTGGGGTTCAGGGAGGGCTGGGCTATGGCCTTGGATGGCCTGGCCACAAGGGAGTCTTCTATGTTGTCTTCTATGTTATCTTCTTGGGTGCATACAATAGGGAAAAGGGGCTATCACTGTGTCTCCGGTCAATACAGCCTTCAATCCTAGGTAGGCCATGTGCTTTGGTAGGCCACATTCATGTGCAGGCCATGTGCACACGTTGCTCAGAACAGTGCTGGTCCTGTCAAGTCAGCCCTGTCTCTGGTGTGCCACCCTCCTTTTCCCAAAAGCAGGTCTGAGTCAGGCCCACAGCATCCTGTGGCTTTGAGTGGCTCTACCATACACACACACACACGCACGCACACACACGCACGCACACACACGGTATCAGAAGAGGCTGTGGGAGACTACCTTAGGGTGGCTATGCATTCTAGTGGCAGGGAACAAGATGCCTAGCATGTTGGCTAAGAGCTCTGGATGCACTGGCCAGGGTGTGGCCTGGGGTGGAGTGGTACCACCTGTAGCAGACAGCTGTGGGCCCCTGAAGGTAGGGTCAGAGCCCCAAGTGTGAAAGGCTTGCCAGTGGGAACAGCTGAGGAACCTTCTAGGTTTGACTATACTTCTGCTTTGCTCTGTCATTGGGACTTACGTGGCCACTCTCTGAACAGACTTCATGGCTAATTTGGAAGAGGGGCCATCAATTCTTGGAAATAGTGGGAGCCATGGTTGTTTTGAATCCACTTTTCTGAAGACCCTCTGCTCCTGCCTAATCTAGATCTTTGGGGAAGTGCAGCCCTCAGATGCCTATAGCTGTCCACCAGGCATCAAAGTGAAGGGTCCCACCAGCCAGCCAAGTGGGGGGCTCTGCTGCAGCTTGTCCAGCAGCACTTCCAGACTCTGCCATGCCTGGACCACACCAGCACTGCTCTGGGCAAGCTGCTCTGCCTGCAGCTCAACACCACTTGCAGAGGACACGAGGCCATACAGCTTGCAGAGGCTGTTCCTCGCCAGCCTCGCCTGCTGCTGCACCTCTGGAAGGCCCTGCAGGCAGGCTGCCAGGCTGCTGTAAGCTGCATGGAGCTGGCGGGCTAGTGTGCACAGCCTGTCTTGAGCCACAGAAGCATGCACCTGCAGAGGAGGAGGAAGGTAAGCAGGGTCAGGTCTGTGTTAGGAGTGCTGGGGAGGGGCCCATACCACACACACCTCATGGGTACCAGTAGCCTCCACCCAGGAGCTCAAGCTCTGGTCCCAATGCAGCTGCCCACCTGGAGCCTCCACAGCCATGTCTGTCTGGAAAGAGCCACAGGAGAGGTAGTGGCTCTAATGTAGTTAGAAATACTCAGTGCTGTCCCTAGATCCTGAGTCTGAACCTGCTCCATACATGGTACAGGCAAAGCCAAAATTCCCTGTGAGGGTATCTGGAAGGCCAGGTGGTGGTTCCTCTATGTCCACTCATCTCCCACCCCACTGTTGCCCTCTGCATGTCCACACAGGTTCCTTTCTGTCCCCTGCCCATTCTCTTTCCCCAGGGATCTGCTGCCCTATACCCCACCATGCCTGCTCTGTCCCTCCCATATTCCCTGGGTGTTCACTTAGGAGACAGGGGCTTCATGACCAGGGAGGGTGTGTGCAGATGACAGGGATGCCACCCAGCACCCAGAATCCCAGGCCTCTGGGTCCATAATGCCCAGCACAACTCTGGAGATAGAACACTGGGTGAAGAACCTCTGCTAGGGCCATTATTTTACCACCTTCTCCCTTGGGTTCACAGATTCTAGCCACATACCCAGCTCAGTAGTACAACCATGCCCCAGCTCCCTCTGCATGCAGGTGGATTAGCCCATTAGGCACTTGGTCAGTGAACAGTTGGAGGTATCCAGAGTGGGAACCAGAGATGCTCTTACCACCTGGAAGGCCTCCTGGAGCTGGGCCAGCACAGCCCTGGCTTGGAACTGGTTGTGCTGTATGTGGCTCAAGGCATGTTCAAAAGCTCGCTGGCGGAAGCTGGGTGCCAGGTCACCTAGGCGGACAAAGTAGCTTTCCTGGTCAGCAGAGAGCACCCGGGGCCCTGATTCTGAGGCTGCCAGCCGGGCTGGAAGGAAGATAGTGAGACTCAATCTGAGGGTTTCTTGAGGCACCCACACTGGGACTGGGGACCTGCAATAGGGAGGGACAAGCACTCACCTTGTTCTTCAGCTGTCATGGGCTGGAAGATGTCACCTAGCCCCTCCAACTCATCATGAAGTGCAGCAAAGCTTGTAGCAGCCAGCTGATCACATTCCGCCATAGATGAAGCCACGCCAGACACAAGGCCTTTGGTGGTAGCTATGGGTTTCTTGACAAGCCCCAAGCTACATGTGTTTGCAAGGCTGCTGATCTCAGAGCATGAGGACACTGCAAAAGTCATTGTAGCATGTTCTGCCCCTTGGTTGGTAGCACTGCAACTGCCAGGATCATAGTACTTAGTGGCATGAGAGCCAGAGAGTGAACATGGGACGGTATGGATACCACTGTGGATGGTATTGATGGCCACTTTATCTTCCTGACACAGAATGGCAGATCCTGTGTGCCTGGAGGTGTCCAGGCCCTTCTGAATGACACCTTTGGACATGTTCATGGCACCCGTGAGTCCTGTGGTCACTGTGTCCTTGGTGCCCATGACCATAGACTTGGTGGTGTCCAGGCCCCCCTGGGCAGCTACTTTTGACACGTTCATGGCACCTGTGAGTCCAGTGGTCAGTGTGTCCTTGGTGCCCATGACCACAGACTTGGTGGTGTCCAGGCCCGTCTGCACTGTCCCTTTGGCCACATTCATGGCTCCTGTGACTCCAGCACAAACAGTGTCCTTTGTGCCTGTCAGCACAGTTTTGCTGGTGTCCAGGCCCGTCTGCACTGTCCCTTTGGCCACGTTCATAGCCCCCGTGAGTCCTGTGGTCAGTGTGTCCTTGGTGCCCATGGCCACAGACTTGGTGGTGTCCAGACCCCCTTGAGCAGCCATTTTGGCCACGTTCATGGCCCCCGTGAGTCCTGTGGTCACTGTGTCCTTGGTGCCCATGACCACAGACTTGGTGGTGTCCAGGCCCGTCTGCACTGTCCCTTTGGCCACGTTCATGGCCCCCGTGAGGCCTGTGGTCACTGTGTCCTTGGTGCCCATGACCACTGACTTGGTGGTATCCAGGCCCGTCTGCACTGTCCCTTTGGCCACATTCATAGCCCCCGTGAGGCCTGTGGTCACTGTGTCCTTCGTGCCCATGGCCACTGACTTGGTGGTGTCCAGGCCCCCCTGGGCAGCCACTTTTGCCACATTAATGGCCCCTGTGAGTCCTGTGGTCACTGTGTCCTTGGTGCCCGTGACCACTGACTTGGTGGTGTCCAGGCCCGTCTGCACTGTCCCTTTGGCCACGTTCATGACCCCCGTGAGGCCTGTGGTCACTGTGTCCTTGGTGCCCATGACCACAGACTTGGTGGTGTCCAGGCCCCCCTGGGCAGCCACTTTTGCCACATTAATGGCCCCTGTGAGTCCTGTGGTCACTGTGTCCTTGGTGCCCATGACCACTGACTTGGTGGTGTCCAGGCCCGTCTGCACTGTCCCTTTGGCCACATTCATAGCCCCCGTGAGGCCTGTGGTCACTGTGTCCTTCGTGCCCATGGCCACTGACTTGGTGGTGTCCAGGCCCCCCTGGGCAGCCACTTTTGCCACATTAATGGCCCCTGTGAGTCCTGTGGTCACTGTGTCCTTGGTGCCCGTGACCACTGACTTGGTGGTGTCCAGGCCCGTCTGCACTGTCCCTTTGGCTATGTTCATAGCCCCCGTGAGTCCTGTGGTCACTGTGTCCTTGGTGCCCATGACCACTGACTTGGTGGTGTCCAGGCCCCCCTGGGCAGCCACTTTTGCCACATTAATGGCCCCTGTGAGTCCTGTGGTCACTGTGTCCTTGGTGCCCATGACCACTGACTTGGTGGTGTCCAGGCCCGTCTGCACTGTCCCTTTGGCTATGTTCATAGCCCCCGTGAGTCCTGTGGTCACTGTGTCCTTGGTGCCCATGACCACTGACTTGGTGGTGTCTAGGCCCCCCTGGGCGGCCACTTTTGCCACATTAATGGCACCTGTGAGTCCTGTGGTCACTGTGTCCTTCGTGCCCATGGCCACTGACTTGGTGGTGTCCAGGCCCGTCTGCACTGTACCTTTTGCCATGTTCATGGCTCCTGTGACTCCAGCACAAACAGTGTCCTTTGTGCCTGTCAGCACAGTTTTGCTGGTGTCCAGGCCCGTCTGCACTGTCCCTTTGGCCACGTTCATAGCCCCCGTGAGTCCTGTGGTCACTGTGTCCTTGGTGCCCATAACCACAGACTTGGTGGTGTCCAGACCCCCTTGAGCAGCCATTTTGGCCACGTTCATGGCCCCCGTGAGTCCTGTGGTCACTGTGTCCTTGGTGCCCATGACCACAGACTTGGTGGTGTCCAGGCCCGTCTGCACTGTCCCTTTGGCCACATTCATGGCTCCTGTGACTCCAGCACAAACAGTGTCCTTTGTGCCTGTCAGCACAGTTTTGCTGGTGTCCAGGCCCGTCTGCACTGTCCCTTTGGCCACGTTCATAGCCCCCGTGAGTCCTGTGGTCACTGTGTCCTTGGTGCCCATAACCACAGACTTGGTGGTGTCCAGACCCCCTTGAGCAGCCATTTTGGCCACGTTCATGGCCCCCGTGAGTCCTGTGGTCACTGTGTCCTTGGTGCCCATGACCACAGACTTGGTGGTGTCCAGGCCCGTCTGCACTGTCCCTTTGGCCACATTCATGGCTCCTGTGACTCCAGCACAAACAGTGTCCTTTGTGCCTGTCAGCACAGTTTTGCTGGTGTCCAGGCCCATCTGCACTGTCCCTTTGGCCACGTTCATAGCCCCCGTGAGGCCTGTGGTCACTGTGTCCTTGGTGCCCATGGCCACAGACTTGGTGGTGTCCAGGCCCCCCTGGGCAGCCACTTTTGCCACATTAATGGCACCTGTGAGTCCTGTGGTCACTGTGTCCTTGGTGCCCATGACCACTGACTTGGTGGTGTCCAGGCCCGTCTGCACTGTCCCTTTGGCCACGTTCATAGCCCCCATGAGTCCTGTGGTCACTGTGTCCTTGGTGCCCATGACCACTGACTTGGTGGTGTCCAGGCCCCCCTGGGCGGCCACTTTTGCCACATTAATGGCCCCTGTGAGTCCTGTGGTCACTGTGTCCTTGGTGCCCGTGACCACTGACTTGGTGGTGTCCAGGCCCGTCTGCACTGTCCCTTTGGCCACATTCATAGCCCCCGTGAGTCCTGTGGTCACTGTGTCCTTGGTGCCCATGACCACTGACTTGGTGGTGTCCAGGCCCGTCTGCACTGTACCTTTTGCCATGTTCATGGCTCCTGTGACTCCAGCACAAACAGTGTCCTTTGTGCCTGTCAGCACAGTTTTGCTGGTGTCCAGGCCCGTCTGCACTGTCCCTTTGGCCACATTCATGGCTCCTGTGACTCCAGCACAAACAGTGTCCTTTGTGCCTGTCAGCACAGTTTTGCTGGTGTCCAGGCCCGTCTGCACTGTCCCTTTGGCCACGTTCATAGCCCCCGTGAGTCCTGTGGTCACTGTGTCCTTGGTGCCCATGACCACAGACTTGGTGGTGTCCAGGCCCGTCTGCACTGTCCCTTTGGCCACGTTCATGGCTCCTGTGACTCCAGCACAAACAGTGTCCTTTGTGCCTGTCAGCACAGTTTTGCTGGTGTCCAGGCCCGTCTGCACTGTCCCTTTGGCCACGTTCATAGCCCCCGTGAGTCCTGTGGTCACTGTGTCCTTGGTGCCCATGACCACTGACTTGGTGGTGTCCAGGCCCGTCTGCACTGTCCCTTTGGCCACATTCATAGCCCCCGTGAGGCCTGTGGTCACTGTGTCCTTCGTGCCCATGGCCACTGACTTGGTGGTGTCCAGGCCCCCCTGGGCAGCCACTTTTGCCACATTAATGGCACCTGTGAGTCCTGTGGTCACTGTGTCCTTGGTGCCCATGACCACAGACTTGGTGGTGTCCAGGCCCGTCTGCACTGTCCCTTTGGCCACGTTCATGACCCCCGTGAGTCCTGTGGTCACTGTGTCCTTGGTGCCCATGACTGCTGACTTGGTGGTGTCCAGGCCTCCCTGAACAAAACCTTTGGCCATACCTACTGCTCCCATGATGCCTCCAGACAGTGCCTCCTTAGTGCCCACAAGGGCTGATTGGGTGGCTCCAAGGCTACCCTGGACCATTCCTTTAGCAGTGTCTATGATGTCACCCACCCCAGAGGAGAAGGCATCTTTACCACTGGTCACACTGAAGCTTCCCATGTCCTTGTGCTCAGCAGTTGTCTAACAAGGAAGGACAGAGGTTAGCACCTAAGGAAACTAACTCTAGGTTGACTGTGCTGTCCATACCCTTGTGCAACCCAGTCCCTTAGCCAAACACCATAGTGTCATCCAGCTGCAAGGTAGTATCTAGGGAACTCCTAAAAAAGATTGCTTCTAGTTGGGCATGTGATTCCAGCACTTAATGAAGCTGAGACAGTAGGACTGTCACAAGTCAAGGGTTGCCTGACAAGCAACTAAAATGCAAGTTGAGAAAGACCCCATCAGTGTCCGCTTGACTTGGTCATGTCTCACACTGTGGCCAAGAGGCCACTCTTGACACTTGATTATTGTTTGACACTGGTCTTCTATAACCCAAAATTTACTATGTAGCTAAGGAGGACCTGCTGGGATGATGGAGATGTGCTCCTACTGAGCGGCTTGGGGGACTCTGAGCATGCCTGGGGACATTGGTTATCCTAAGGGGAGGATGGAGACACGGCTCAGCTCAGTCCCACAGTATGGCCCAGTTAGCACGGTGCTCACCTCACATTCTGCAGTGGCCCAGGCTTGATCCTTCCCTGCACTTGTGTGATGTAAGGCACAAAAGGTGTGCGGTTCCTGGCCCCTCTCCTGCCCCAGCCTACAGCCCTCTAGAAAATACACTCCTACATGCTACAGAATGAGGTACTGGCAGCCTGGGCTGTGTGAGACCCTGTTTCAGATTAAAAAGACAAACGAAAACAATTCCTTCAGGGTTAGGATAGTGGATGAAAGAAAGGGATTCAGTGTGTGCTTAATTGTTGTTAATTGTTGTCTTGACTGCCAGAGATGTATTTTGATTGGAGTCTACTGGGTATAGTTCCACCATTGCTGACCGAGGGGATGCTTAAGTTAGAGAGTTATGGAAGTGGGGGTGGAGTTCTCTACCTTGGTTTCTCTACGCCTTCCATGTGGTGTTGTGGGTCACAGCCCCTGTCTCCTTGGGGGCAGGGGAAGGCTAGCATTTAAGTGCTGAGCACTGTGCATTAGGTAGGACTGTTGAGAGCTTGTGCCCATTTCCCAGATGTAGAAACTGAGGTCCAGGGTAGAGAATGTACTAGAGGTCCCACCTTCTCTTTGTCCTTTGACTCCCCACCCCATGAAAGAAACTAGAACCTCCCAGTCCTTCCTGACCAGGGTCTTCAACCTGGCTCACCTGTTCAGAAGACTGGAGCAGCCCCGCCGCACCCCTTGCCATCTGATGCAGGTTGGTGGCCCCTGCAGAGACAGAGCCAGGCTGGGAGTGAGCGGCAGGCCTCCAGCTGGAGCCTGTTGCTGTTGTGCAATTCCAGGCTTTGCCCCAAAGGGCAGGAATGTCCCAGCAGCCAGTCCAGGGACAGCAAGAGATGGCATCCACAGGCAGGATCCAGGTCTAGCTTCCCTTCCCCCTCCCTGCCAAGGGTGGCTTTGGCCCCTGTGTCACAGGGTTCTGAGAAGTCTTTCTGTGCCGGACCCTGGGTGCTGGACACCCACCCTGAACCCATGGAGCCTGCAGTGGGCAAGTGGTACCTCCCTGCCTGTGCCATGGCCCCCAGCAGCCTGTCACAGGTAGCTGGTGGCCTGATGCAGGCACTCCAGCTGAGTCCAAGGATGCTGTGTGACCCCAGGGCAGCTGCTGACCCTATCTGAGTCTTTATCCTTGACACACTCAAACAAGCACAACATGCAGCCAGGTATTAGGCGCAATGAGTGACTGGCAGAATTTAAATTCCCTCCTCCCTGGACTATGTTACCCAGTATCTGTGCCTCAGTTTCCCCACCTAATGACATAACAGACAAGATCAGCAGGATCACTCCAGGTCCCTCCTGGGTAGTCTGCATGGCTACTTGGTCCCCACCACCTCCCTGTGCCACTCACCCAGAGGTGGGGGAGCAGGTGTCCCTGTGGGGTCTGTTGCTGGTCCTGCGTCATTTGTGGAACTGTGAGTGTGGGACACTAGGTTCCGGGAAGAGCTGAAGCCAGGCAGGAACCCGAAGAAACTGCTCAGGGTCTGTGTGGAGTGGGTGGGGGTGGCATGAGTGGACACTGGGGTCACCTTCCCTGAGTCCCTTGTGGGGCAGCCCTCTCTCTGTCCTTACCTTGCCTTTGGATTTGGGGGGACTCCTGGTCCCATCTCCCGAAGCAGACATAATGGTGACCTGAGGGGCTAGAAGGTGCAAAAAGTCCCACATGATGGGGGCCCTCCTGTCCCGTCCCCACCCTGGACCCCACAGGCACCCCTTTTACCCACCTGGAGGTGTCAGTCGCTGGGTGACGCAGCTGGACTCACATGGACCATGCAGGGTCCCTCAGAGCAGGGCAGCTGCTGGCAGTGCCTCAGCTCCTGGTTCCCAGGCCTTATAGGGTCTGGGGAGGGTGCAGGCTTGGCCTGTCCAGGCAGGCGGCCAGAGAGCGGGGGGGGGGGGCGTCACGTGCCTGCCTGCCTGGGCCAGTGTGGAACCACCCCAGCACCTTTCCCCTGCTCTCCGCCTCAGCCCAAGCCACCTCTCTGCCCACAGTGCCTGCCCTCAGGCCCAGTGACTCAGAGCCAGCTGGGTTCCCTGAGGGAACCTGCTCTCTGCCTCTACTTTTCTGAGATGGGACACCTGATCAGGCACCGCCTTTAGGTCCCAGTTTCCCCTTCCAAACTTATCAGTGGGCTTCCTTTCCCCCTCCTCCCACTCTGCTCCTCACTCCCTGGCTTAAAACAGGGACCTTCTCCAACAGGTGGGATCCTTTCTTCCCCCAAGGCCATTGCATGGGCCATGGCCCTGCCTACTACACCTTCCTCTAGATTTCCACACAGTCTCAACTGTCAGCCTGTTTATATCCTGAGCCCAGGGCAGTGCTAGCACACATCACACACTTAGGAAACATTTGTCTAAATGGGGACAACTAAAGGTGCATACGAGTTTAAAATGAGGTCATATGTGGTCTGTAGTCAACAAACTCTACCTTAGCATTACCGGACGGAAACAGGGTCTTTACTGAAGGGACTTGGCTGAAATGCAGAATGGGAGGTGCCCTGGGGTTGAGAACCATGGTGGGTCCAGCCTAACCAGTGTGTGTGTTGGATGAGAATCCTGGGCCTGAAGCCCCATGGGTAGGTCATACAGGCTCCTAATTCACTGTCTCCCAAGTGGGACTTCCGTGGAGCCACTGGGCAGAATGGCCACCACTCTCACCCTGGACCCTGTCCCAGACTTTTACCCCAGGAACTCCAGCATCCCAACCTCAGCAATGAGGCAATTAACTCTGGCTCTGAACAAGAGGAAGGGATTCTGGGTAGGGTGGGATGGGGGCTTGGTACCCCTGGGCTGTTTCCTTGGAGCCTTGGTTGTGTTGGCTGACAGTTCTAGAACAGAACTGAGTACCTCCAACTATTGCTCTGGAAGGCATGGGGGGGCAGGAGGAGTGGGTATGGGGTGGGAGCATTGCAGCTGGCTCTCGGCGCCTGGCTCCCACAATTCACAAGGCTCCCAGGAAGAGCCAGAGTTCGGTGTGGGGGTGGGTTGTGCCTTCTGGATAAGAGGGCACTGGTAGGTGGGCAGAGATGAGGATGCTGTTCTGAGAGTACTGGGGAGCTATGGGATTTCTGGAAGAGAAGCCCAGAAACACCATCTGGACTGGGTTCCAGCATGACTTCACCATGCTGGACAGTGGTTTCCCAATACACTGCCCAAACCCAGGAGCCAGAGGGGTGGCCAAGAATTCAGTGAGAATCCAGGAAGGCCCTGTGGGACCCATCCTGGCCTTTGCCCTGCTTCTGCCTCCTGCAACCCTACCCAAGTGCAGCCTATCTCCTGCAGGTCCAGGGAGCAGGGAGAAGAGAGGCCACCTCTTGGCATCCTCTACTCCACCTTCTATCCTGCTACCAAGAGGTTCCAAGAACTCATACTATAGTATTAGTGGCTTCCACTTAGGTGTACTGGGGGGGGGGAAGACACTTAACCTAAGCTCCTCCACGTGGCTTAGGAGGAAATGTGTTGGCCCTGAACACTGGCTGGCAATTCCATCCTCATGACCCTAAAGTCACACCCTGAAAACTCCCAGCACCCTAGTTCCAAGACACACCTCAGATCACACCAAACATTTATTCTGGACCACAAACAACAAAGCAAGTGGGTCTCTTGCCTGGCATGGCTGGCTGGACATCTTGGAGGGACACCACTCAAAAGCATTTTATTTGAGGATATCTGTAACCCCCCGGAGAAGATTCCCCTCCACACCATGTCTTCCTCAGAGTCCAGAGCCACCTTTTTATTTATTTATTTGACAGTCTTGCTAAGGCAACTTAAGCTGGTCTCAAATTTCAATCCTCCTGCTTCAGCCTCTCAAGTGCTGCCATGACAGCTGTGTACCACTTTTGAAGGTGGGGACAGGTCACAGGAGTTACCTGCGGTGAGCGCGGTCATATGACCACCAGGGGGCAGCAGGGGGCCTCGGTGGTTAGAAGTCCAGCTCAGGCATCAGCCTGTGCTTGGGCGGGCTACTCTGGGGCGCCCGCGGTTCTGCATGCTCGGCCTCCCAGGCTTTCTGCTGGGCCGGCCAGTTCATGTGCACCCAGCGCGGGTCGGGGCCGCCCACCACCTCATCCACGCAGGCGTCCAGGTCTGCCAAGGGCTCAGGCCGCTCCACCAGGACCGGAGCAAAGGGCCCCACGAGCCAGGGCAGGGGCATGGCCCGCAGGACTGAGTCCAGCAACTCGTCAACGCAGGCGTGCGCCCTGGCTACTCGGCCCCTGCCCTCGGCCAGAGCAGCCGGAGCCACATCCCGCAAGCAGCGCGCGTCGGCGAAGGCGGCCTGCAGGGCATCTACGCTTCGCTGCACCTCTGCCACCTTGGCCCGGGCACCAGGTGGCAGGCCCAGCACGCAACCAGCCAGAGCGTCCACTGCCCTCTGAAGCTCCAGAGTCAGGCTTCGAGACAGGGCCAGCGTCTCTAGCTCCACCTACAAGAGCCCAGCCTCAGTTTCCCCATGCATCTAATGCATGATTCTCAACCTTTGGGCCTTTTCATGGGGGTCACCTATAAGATATTTACATCGCAATTCATTACAGTAGCAAAATTACAGCTGTGAAGCAGCAATGAAATAGTTTTATGGCGGGAAGTCACCACAACATGTATTAAGTGGTCACTGCATTAGAAAGGTTGAGAATCACTGATTTAATGGTAGGTTTGACCCGCTTTAGTTTCCCCATGAAATCTAATGTGAGGGCCTTGGCTTACCTCAGTTTCCCTATGGACAACAATGGGGGATCAGCTCTGCCATACTTTAGCTTACTGGATACAAAAGAGAGTATATGCTCTGCCTCAGTTTCCCTCATGGACACCCAACCTGGTGACTGAGAGCACTTGAGCTGGGATCCCTGCCTCTTGCCCAGGGTGGATGGATCCTGCTTTCCCCATGGCCCCTCACCTGGCTGTGTCTGCGCCCATTCTCTGGCCATGGACTCCAGTCCTCCCATAGCTCCTGCGCCTTTGGGGGGTAGGGAGTGGGAGTGGGGTTTGCCCCGTTCTGCATACGGTGGATCTGTAGGACAGGGACACCAGGAGTCAGCCTGGAGGCCTGCAACCTGCCTCCAGCAGCCCTTAATGAGCACCGCCTGAATGCAGCCAACCTGCATTCTGTTGGCCAGCCCAGTCCCTTCTCCCCTCTACTCCTTTTGTTGCTTACTGTCACAGCCCGGTCCACAGGGATCTCTGCTTTACCCAACATAGAGCCTCCCTCCCTCTCCTGCCTGAAGGTGAATGGACATATATTGTAGTTTATCAGTATTCAGTATTCAACCAGGAAAAGGGGAGGAACTGGTGACTGTTCCACTGTGGGTGGCCCTTGAGATGAGGCTCAGTGAGTGACAAGGCAGGACACACAGCACAGATCACTCCCAGCATGCTTCATCCAGCCTCACACTCACAGAGACAGGAAGTGGAAGAGTGGGAAGGGGCTCTGGGAGATGGAGTTAGTATTGAACAGGGGCAGAGCCTCGCTGTAGGGAGATGATGGGGTGGGGGGTAGGGATGGCTGCATGGCTTCCTGAGTGCTGGGATGACAAGGCCTGAGCTACCATGCCCATCAAGACCATAAAGTGTTTGAAAATGAGGCAATAGATAATGCAAGATCCTGTTCCCACATGGCCGGTAAAGCACAAAGCTGTGGCTGGACACAGAGTGACCTTTCTCAATAAGCATTTAGTAACCTGACTATGTACAAATTGTCCCATCTGCTGTAGGCAGGGCATGGACAGACCAGCCACACAGTAGATGATCAATAGCCAGACGTGGGAAGAACTGGGGCTCTGCTCAGTGCCGAGCAGAGCATCTTCCCAGAACGTGTGAAGTCCCCATTCCACCCCAGCACTGGGAGTGAGGAGAGTCGGGACCATGGGAAATTAAGGATCATATGGGCACAGGATGTGGTACAGCATAGAACACACTGCAAAGGCAAGAGTAAACAGTATATGTGTGCTGTGGAATACTGATCAGCCAGGAAAAGGAGGGAGACTCTAACACCTGCTCCCACATTGAGTGCAAAGGCACACACTTTGGAGTCCCACCATTCCCAGGAAGCCAGGCAAAGGCCCTGGGGAAGGGTGGAGCTTGTAGGAGGCAAGGTGGGAGGGGGCAGGAATGGGAAGACTGAGACTGTACTTACAGGTGCTCTCTGGTGTGTCCAGAGGGACAGTGGGAAGGACTATCTGGGCGAGGTGAGTGCTGAACTGTGTGTGTGTGTGTGTGTGAGAGAGAGAGAGAGAGAGAGAGAGAGAGAGAGAGAGAGAGAGGAGAAGCAGAAGCAGGGGCTGGAAAAGGGCTTTGAAGGCAGAGGCCATTGTTAGCTGTGAGGGGTATAGGAGGGAGTAGGGAGCAGAAAATGCAGACAGACAGCATGGGATGAAGGCTGAGGTGTGATCTGGGATCTAGGGTGATGTATCCACATGGGGGTCTCTTTCTGAGTCCTGGGAGCCCTGCCCATAACCCCCAGTGGGAAGCCCCACCCTGAGAGAGCCCCGCACCCCACCAGGTGGCTCACCAGCTCCAGAGTCTCCTGTAGCTGGGCCAGAGTGTCCTGGGTGCGGTGTTTGCTCTGCCTCAATTTCCCCAAAGAGTGTTCATAGGCCAGATGGCGGAGGCGCGCCGACAGGGATCCCAGACGCACAAAGTAGCCCTGTTGCCGCCTCTGCTCCTCCACAGAGCCCACTTCTGGGTCCTCGGCCTCAGCAGCCAGGGCAGCTGGAGACAGGGACACTGGGGATTGGCATGGTGGCTTATGCCTCTGCTCACTCACTGCCAGGAGCGCCCAGGTTCTCAGCTGTACAGTGACCCTGTATTGTCATTGCCCCTCTAACTGTTCCCAAACCTTATGGAGTGTACTTTATTTTTGTTCCTTTGTTTTGAGACGTGGCCCAGGCTAGCTCCAGCCCTGGTGCTTACGCTGTACATTCGAGGGAACTGAGGTAGGCCATTGGGGTGGCTCAGTGATGGTAGAAGGAGAGAACCGACTCCTGGAGGGATTCTCTGACCTTCAGTGCCTGCTGTGGTGTGTGCACGTGCACACAAACACACAGGTGTGCATGCGCGCACACACACACTTAAACTGAAGTATCATAGCATGCTGGAGGCAGACCCAAGACTCGAACCCAGGCCTGATTCTACCAAATATGGCCAGGTCCAGTGGTGCACACCTGTCACTCCAGCACTCGGGAGGCTGAGGCAGGATGGCCATGAGTTCATGAGTTCAGAGCAAGCCTCGGCCATAGAGTGAAACCCTGTCTCAAAGCAATTGTCTTTGGGGCCTGGGTGTCTGACTTTCTGGGCACAAAGTGGAGGGAAAGATCCAACCTGTATTTGAGTCTCCGGTTTCCCAATGCTGTGCTGTTCTGTGCAACCTCAGGCAAGCCCCAGACCTCTCTGATTAGTACCTAGCTCATCCTCGGTCATGGGCAGGAAGTGATCCACCAGCTCCTCCGACTTGCCCAGCACCATGTCCATGGCCTGGCTCATGGAGCGCTTCAGCTCCCCGCTCCAGCGCCGGCCCCGCTGTGCCAGATCCACCATGCCTGTGACGCTGTTGGTCACTGCGTCCTTGGCTGAGGTCACCACCTGTGGGAAGGGTGTCACTCTGGGCACTGTGGGTCTGTGGCTCCATTTACCCTAGTCCTGGAAGCAGAGATCCCCAAGACCTCTGGATCCCTTCCTAGCTCTGTGCCTCAGTTTCCCTTCATTAAATAGGCGACCCTGAAGTCCTTCCCAACTGGCTGACCACTATCATCTTACACATCTGCTCCCCCCAAGATCTCTCCCTTCTCCCGCTTCACCCTGAAGGAGTTGGGGAATGGGGGCCAGGTCATCTCTAGTACCACGTCCGACGGCTGCTGCAGGAATGGTAGCTTCTCTTCCAGTTTGTCTAGTCCCCTGCAGGCAAGATCATTCACTGTGGCCACTAAAGAGAGAAGGGGAACCATGGAGGACTGAAGGGCATGGCAGAAGGGAGTACCTGGCAAGGATGGAAGCCACACATCCAGAGGAGCGTGCACCCTGGCCAGGGGGACATGGCAGGCAGGTGACAGGACCTGAGGCAGCTCAGCTATTGAGTCCTTTCTCCTCACCCCCTGCTGGGTCCTCGAGCAGCTAGGCTCAGGGTCTTGGGAACAAGAGAGGAGTTGGGGACCCTCATTGACCCTCTTCAGTCACTCAGTCAGCCATGGGCTTTCATCCTCTGGTCAGTGGGGAGCCCTGAGCCAGTGGCCCAGCCATTAGAGACAAAGAAGGTGCCAGAACATTGGGAAAGAACAGAGGGGACAGTTAGGAACCAAAAGGGGATCCAAGAGGGGGTCTGGGCTGATTACATGTGGATTTGGTCCCAGTGCTGCATAAACCAGGTGAGTGTGGTGGTGCAGGTCCATCATCTCCGCACTCAGGAACATCATTGAACATTCTGGGCCAATCTCAGCTACAGAGCAAAACTCTCAGCCAGAAAAATGGCGTGGGGGTGGGGTGGGGTGGGGTGGGGTGCGGACCTAGATGGCCCAGGGAGGGACAGCTGTTTCTGAGGATGGTAAAGAAAGATCAAAGTAGGTACTTGGGAACTCAGACTCACACTGGGGCTGCAGGTGCTCCAGCAGAGGCTGTGCATGGTCCAGGGCGCAGGTAGTCACACTGCACACACAGTGCTCAGCCAGACGACAGGCTGAGCCCAGCAGTGGGTGTTTGTCCTTGGCTGTGTTGTAAGCACCAGACACGGCTGTGTATGTGGCCCTGACGAGGGGCAAGGCCACCACACGCTTCACCACATTCTGTAGGAACCAATGACGCCGGGGCTCAGCCCCACCAGGGGACAGATGGAGGCAGTGAGTTGTGCAACGGCACCTCCCGTGTTCCTGGTGAGGCTGCTGCATTGGGGACCAGCTGGGTGATGACCCCCAGGGCAGAGACCTGACTGCTGGGGCTCAGTGTCCCCACAGGCTGTAAATGTGGGTAGCATATACCCTAAGTTTGGTGACAGCAGTCACATGGAGCTATGAGAAAGGAGCTGGACCTTGGTGTCCACTGCCAGAGCCTCCCGCAAGGGATGTGCAGGGACCCAGCCATGAACCCCCCTCAGAGGCGCACCCCATTGTGGTCACTCTCCCAGCCCCTCACCTGCTGGTCCGGCTCCCCCAGGCTGGTTCCAGGGTCCTGAGCTGTCTCATTGGACAAGCTGAGGGGCAGGACATGGAGAGAGGGAACCCCTGAGAGCTAGCCCTGTGGGGTGTTCTGGGATGCAAAGGCAAATCATGCACAGCACAGGGTCCTGCACATAGTAGGTATATAATAAAAACCGATGGCTTTGTGGGGAAGGGGAAGTGGGCACCGAGATGAGGATCAGTTCAGATTCCATCATTACCTGTGATGTGGCGCTGGACTGGCATCTTCACTCCTGTGGTCCATTTCCACCGTGGACAAACCCACACACCAGCCCCACTTGCAGAGGTGGAGGGAGCAGCGGCAGAATCCAGTCCCTTTGACGGGCAGGGAAATTGACGCACAGGTTGCACATGGAGCTTCGAGGTCACCCTCAGCTGTCTAGGGTGACAGGAACGCTGACCTCAGGGCTCATACCAGCTCTGAGCGTCCCCAACGTGGCCCTCCCACTGTCCTCTGCGCCTGGGCCCCGCCCAACTGGGTCCTGGGCCCGCGCCCACTGGGCCAAGGGTCCCACCACCTGCTGCGCCAGTGCCTACGCGCATGCGTGCCCCACCCACTCCCTCTGGCCCCACCGGGAAGGTCCGGGTGTTCAGGGTCAGGACCTGTGCGCCCTGATCTGGGTACAGAGCCGAAGCCGCGGGTGTCCCTGGCGCCCATACTGGAGCCAGCCCTCCTCCCTTACAGCAGATCTGGGCGGGGCCTCAGCGCCCCGGGCCAATGAGGCACCGGGGTGTGTCCGGGGCTCCCCCCCCCCCCCCCGGTGCCTTAGCGACCTAGGGACGCTGGTGTCCCTACGAGGTCGCTACCACGGACTAGAGCCGAGGACTTTCTTACTCTTGATTCTTTTACATACACTTGTTTTGAGTCAGAGTCTCATTATGTAGCCTAGGGCAGCCTGGAACTAATTACATAGCCAAGAATGACCTTGAACTCACCGCCCAGTGGCTAAGGCGACAGATGTGCCCACCACTCTGGTTAGGCAGTGCTAGGCAGGGACCCAGAGCTGTAGTGATATGGAACTCGGCCTCCTGAGGCCCACCCAGCCTTCGTCTTTATTTTTATTATTACATTTACGTGCGCGGATGTTTTGTCTGTATGTCAGTCTGTCTTCCTTTGTCTGTATGTCAGTCTGTCTTCCTTTGTATGTCAGTCTGTCTTCCTGTGCACCATGGTTGCCTGAGGAGGCCAGAGGTGTCAGCCGCCTGTGACTAGAGTGACAGGTGACTGAGCCATCATGTGGGTGCTGGGACTCCAACCCCAGACCAGAGGTCTTTGTCTCTGCTGTTTAATCTTGAGCAGTAGAACTTGTCAGCTCAGACCCCATTTTACAGATCAGCAAACCAAGACTCCGGCTTAGCCCATTCTCCTCAGCTCCATTTGCAGACTGAGCTAAGGAACCCAGTCTTGTGGTGTTATATGCCTGTGACTCCTGCTCCAGGAGGCAGAGACAGGAGAATCATGAGCTCAGATCATCCTAGGCTACATAGCAAGTTTGAGGCCAGCTTGGGCTATCTTGTCTAAAGAAAAAAATAGCTGCTGGTGGTGGTACATACCTTTAATCCCAGCACTTAGGAGGCAGAAGCAGGCAGATCTCTGAATTTGAGGCCAGCCTGGGCTACAGAGCAAGTTCCAGGACAACCTGGGCTACACAGTATGGAGGGTCTGGAGAGCATGCTCAGTCAGTGAAGGTCTTGCCATGAAAGCCTGAAGACCTGAGCTGCAATCTCCAACAGATGGAGGGAACCATCTCCTGCAAGTCGCCCTCTGACCTCCACAGGCTCACTGGTGTGCATGTGCACAAAATAAACGTAAAACAACAAGGAACAGTGCAAATGATGAGTTGCTCAATCAGCCTAGGAGTCATTTTTAAAACATTTATTTACTTATTATGTATACAATAATACAATACTCTGCCTACACATATGCTTGTAGGCCAGAAAAGGGCACCAGATTATACTGCAGATGTTTTTGAGCCACCATGTGATTGTTGGGAATTGAACTCAAGACCTCTGGAAGAGCAGTCAGTGTTCTTAACCTCTGAGCCATCTCTTTAGCCCAGTAGATGTTTTACTAACTGCTTTGGTGACCCCTGTCAGGGTGGTCTGGGGTGTGGCAGAGGGAGAGTGTGGGAGGCGAGGTACCTGGAGTGGGTCAGGTAACCTCAATCCCAACAGAGGGAATGGTGCCACCCCTATCGCCATCCTACAGGGACCCCGGCTCTGCCAAGTCCAGCAGCCGCTGGCCCCTCACGGCTTCAGGCCCTTCACAGAGCGTGTCGTTCTTCGAGAACATCTTGTGTTTGTTGGCGTGCAGCCAGCGGCACAGGTCCCGCAGGTTCTTGTCGCAGACCCAGGGGTTGTGCGACAAGTCGAAGCCGTCCTGCATGTCGCGGGAAGGCCTCCCCAGCGATGCCCATAGGCCGGGGGGTGTGCTGGACAGAGAATTATTGGACAAATCCAACATGTCTAGATGCCGGAGGCTCCAGAAGGCACTTGGCTGCACCACAGTCAGCCCGTTGTCGTTCAGGAACAGGATGCGCAGAAACGGCTGGAATGAGAACAGGCCGAACTCCAGCTTCCGCAACCGGTTCCCTTCCAAGTGCAGGCGCTGCAGCCGGCTCGGGCCCAGCAGGAGGCTGGTGGGCAGCGTCTCCAGCAGGTTGTACCCAAGGTCCAGGGTTCTCAGAGCAGTCAGGGTAAGGAGGAACCCGCTGGGGAGCACGCACAGCCGGTTCTTCGCCAGGTCAAGGTGTTCCAGGGAGCGCAGGCCCCACAGCAACCCAGTATTCGCGTCTTGCAGCTGGTTGTCCCGCAAGACCAGGGTGCGCAGGTCGGCCAAGGTGCTGAAGAGTCCCAGGGGCAGGCCGCGGAGCTCGTTGTGGGTCAGGTCCAGGACACGCAACCTGCTTAAGGGTGTCAGCGATCCCAGGGACAGCTCCTGCAGGCGGTTGCTGGAGAGGTGCAGCTCCTGCAGGCGTCGACAGGCTTGCAGGGCTCTGGCAGGCAGCTCGGTCAAGTTGGAGAATTCCACAGACAGATGGACAATGTCAGCCGGGAGGGGACTCGGGAACTCGGTGACATTGTAGCAGGAGACAGTGCTGCCCTCGGCTGTAGGCAGTACCAGGCATTCATCGAGGCTGGACACAATGCCATCGGCTGAAGTCACCAAGAGGGCCAGGAGGAACAGAATTCTGGGGAAGCAGGTACTGAGGTCCTGGGAGCTGTGGTCAGGGAACCATAGTGAAAATATATGCCCTCTTCCCGGCGACCACCAACCTGGACTGGGACGATATATGAACCTCACCGTTTGTTTCCTGAGTCTATTTTTGTCCTCTTAGCTGGGTAGGTGAGTGGCAGAGCTAGTGAACTCCTATTCATCCTGCAAAGCCTCAGTCACATTAATTTCATTCTCATCTAGTGCCTTCCCTCTGCTTCCAGAAGTAGCCCCTGTCCCACAGCAAACCTCACCTCTACGATGCTTAAGTTCCTACATCTGAACCCTATATTCTCCCCCTGCCAGCCCTAACAGGTGATCAGTAATTAATTATTCTCAGCCCAATTAGCTAGTTACTTCTAATCTGGTTTGTATCCTAGATCTATTCCTATCTCCCTCATTATGTGTTTGGAAGGGAGAGTCAGTGAACTCCTGTTCATACTGCAAAGACCCAGCCACAGTGCCTGGCTTTCATTAACCCTTCTCTGACTGTAGTCAGGAGGGCAAAGCTTCCACATTAGGCTCCTCCTTTCTCTGTCCAGCTCAGGTTTGGGTTGTGTGGTCATCACTGAGTACTCAGAGGGAACTCCAAGTCCAGGTGAACAGAGTCCCTCTGTAGTCACATCTGCTACAACCCTCAGATCTCTGGAGCTTCCCTTAGTGGAATGGAGATGACCATGACCTTGAGCCTCTGCAGGAGCCCTCCACCATGCCTTCTCACTGGTCCTTTGGGGGTCTGTATCTGCAGTAATAGTTTGCAGGCCTGCATCTGTCCCTGGCAACCTCAATGGGTCAGCCCAATGTCCCCATGGCTTTGACTGGCCTGGTGCCAGGGTTGCCCAGCACAGGCCAGGGGAGACCTACCTCCCTTGCTGCCAAGAGGCCATGGCTGTTCTTCTCTTTTTCCTCTGTGTGTCTGTCCCTGTGGCGCCAGGCAGGTGGCTTTATATAGTCCCTGCTTCAAATCAATGCAAAGTGGGAAGGAGCTTGGGGACCGGTCAGCATTGCTACACCCCTTCCTGGCAGAGGCCGCTGCTTCCTGCCCAGCCCTTCCCAGCAGACTTTCTCCATCTCTAACTTTCTGGTTTGAGGATTGGTCCCACCCAGTGTCTCCAGAGCTAATTCCCCACCTCCCAACCCCAGATTTGGGGACTGAGGTTGAAATCTGACCAGGGACCCAGCTGCTCTTTGAGCAGGGGGCAGAAAACAACAGGAATAGCACTGAGAAAACTCTCTGGTCTTGAGTACCTGACACATTGTTTTCTTTCTATGCTCAAGTAGCTTTCCTTCTTTAAGGTCCTGAACAAAGAACAGTACCTGGCTCTGAATTCGAGCTCCTGCAAAAAGAACCAAAACTAAGGTTCTCCAGGACTCAGTTTCCCCACCTACATAGCTGAACTCAATCTTCTAGTGCTCTTCTAAGCCTAGCAGTGGTGGCACACACCTTTAATCCCAGCACTCAGGCTGCAGAGGCAGGCAGGTCTCTGTGAGTACAAGGCCAGCCTGGCCCACAGATCAAGTTCCAGGATGGCTGGGACTGTTATGCAGAAAAACCCTGTCTTAGAAGAGAGAGAGAGAGAGAGCGAGAGAGAGAGAGAGAGAGACTCTGATGATTACATCTATCTGAAGCACAGTGTGTGCAGATGCTCTGTTGTGAAGACACAGTGAGGTCTGGTGTCATCACGGTGCTCAGGGGTTGGGATCCAAAGGCAGGAGGCTCTCTTTTCGGTACCCATAAGATGGTTCTGCTCCATCTTGGCTCAAGAACAGAGTTCAAAACGGTCCTTAGTAAGTCATAAGACCTAAAGGTCAAAGGCATGACCTTAGCTGTCTTATTCTAAACAACAAAATACCTGGTCTGAGGTGTGGCTACTCCTGACCCTCAAAGCCAGGTAATGAGAAATTGAATCTAAGGTGTGGCTACTGAATCCTAGGAGAAAGAGGAAGAAGTTTATTTGTTCCTTATACATGATACCATGTTCCCCTTTTTGGTTAAGGTATATAAGACTGGTGAAAAATAAACTCGTGGCATTTCAGCATTGGCTGATTTGCCCTCCTGATTTTATTCCTGTGTCTACATCTTTTCCTTTAATGTCCAAAATCCCCCTCTCGGGTATGAACCTCGGGCTGCTCGGCTGTCTCTGACTGCAGCCCCACAAACACAGCTTCCCACAATAGTGAGAATGTGTCAAACAACAAAAACTACAATAGTGAAATGCACTTTGAGGCTATTAATTTGCCTTTGAGAACAACTTTTGCTGTGTCACACACTTGCACAAACCATAGGTTGATGTTACTACCTGTCTTCCTCAGTAGCTCTCCACCTTGTTCATTGAGGCAGGGCCTCTTACTGATTGGACTAGACTGACAGAGAACCCCAGAGATCTCCCTGTCTTGGTCTCCCCATTCATAGAATCACAGGTGCACAGGCTTCTGTGAGTCCTAAGGAAAGGTCCTGATGCTGGCATGGTAAGTGTTTTGCCCTCTAAGCCATCTCCCCAGCACCTAGTAAGTTCCTAGCTGTTTAATAACAGCTTCCCTGGTCTTTGCACCTCTCCCTGACCTCTCCTCCCAGCCTGAGAGGCTAAACCCCCATTTGCCTGTGAGCATTACTAAGAGCATGACTGTTGCCCAAGTGTTCCCAGTCACCCCAAGGAAACAGCTGACCGAGAGTCGAGGGGGCCGGTGGATGTAAACAGAGTTTTATTGACAGGGATAGGGCTGGGGAGAGTCCTGGACTTAGCTGGCCACGTGGCATGCACGGTCAGCTGGAGGTCAAAGAGGGGATGTCACAAGGGGGGGGATGGGTGGCATGGGCCTCTCTGACCACCCCAGGGCTGTATTTACAGGGAGGTCTGCCCACCATCACCCCCCAAGACCCCCCAAGCCCTTTAGAAGCATGTTCCCCCATCTCCCAGCCTGGACCCCCAGGTCCCCTCTGCAGAAGCAGGTTTGAACTCCAAACCGGCACCTCGGAGGTCCCTCCCCCGGGCTTCTCTCCAGAAGTCCCATCATTGGCTCAGCCAACACCAGGGTCTCTGAGGGCGCCACTACCCACATTCTGCGTCGCACACTCGCACACCCACAGTGGCCCTGTCTCACACACACGCACACACACACTTCTATCCCGGGCCCTTGCACACGAACAGGCCATGCACACAGACACACATCCACACACGCAGGGGCCCGGGACCCGGGAGGGGGTCCCTTCTGCGGAGGATGAGTTGAGGCGGGAAGGCTTATGTCTGCAGCTCTGCCTCCCCTCACCCCACATCCTCACCCCATCCCGGCTGCCACCCCAAGAACGGGGCTGTGCAATTTCTTAGAGGAAAAAAAAAAACTCAAACCAAAAAAAAAAAAAAAAAATCAGTATATGCGCAGAAGGTCAAAGGTCGGCCTGCTCCCGCCCACCCCGGGCTTCGTGTCCTGAATCCTCCTAGATGGAGGGGGCTCTTGTGCTTCCCTGTGATGAGGGGACCCCCCACGCGCGTGCGTGGGGGACGGACACGCCCCACTCGGAGTTGGCGAGGCCGGATGACCTGAGCTCGCCCCCCGCCCCCGGTCGCTGTGGTTGGCACCATTGAGGCGTCCACCCGGCCTAGGGCACCGGGGGTGCAGTCCGCTCGCTCGCCCCGCAGGGCAGCAGGTGCGCAGAGTCCGCGGGTGGGTGGCGGCGGGAACGGTGACCCCCGGGCCTGGCCTCGCCGCTGTTGAACGTGTGCGTGCGCCGCAGGGCTGCTGCGGGAGGCCCGTGGGGACCTGGCCTCCGCAGGCTGCTGGTCGCTGGTGGGCTCCACGGCCCGGGCGGCCCATCGCCCGCCGATGGGTCCAAGGGGCCCGTGGGTGCGGACACCACCCGCCGGCGGTCCGGGCTGGCATGGGGTGTGAGCGGGAAGTCTCCGGGATGCGAGGCCCGGCCGGGTCTGGGGGCACAGAGGCGACCATCGGGGCCCGGCTCCGCTGGCACAGGGGGCTGCTCAGAGGCACGCGCGGGCGCCAGCAGCAGTAGGGAGGTGGAGGCGGAGGCCGACAGCAGTGTGTGGCTGTGGTCCCAGGCTCGTGGCCCCAGGGCGTGGGCATGAGGGTGCGGCGTGGGCAAGCGCTTCTGGGGCAGCGGCGTCTGCTCAGGGGTAGGCAGCAGCCCCGAGTCCAGGTCGTGAGGGCCACCATGCAACAGTGCCGCCTTCGTCCAGCCGTTCTGCATGAGCGGGGCGAGCAAGGCCTCTGGGGGACCCCCGGGGCCGCCGCCGGCTCCTCCACGGCCTCCGGGGCCTGTCCCCCTGCGCTCGCCCAGCCGGCTCACACTCAGCACTGCCTCGCCGCCGCCGTGCGCCAGGATGGCCTCCTTGTCCTTGCGCCGGGCCAGCTCCCGCCGTTCGCGGAGACCCACGAACCAGCCCACGCTGAAGCCAGACACCACGGCGCCCACCACGAATGCCGCCACCGAGGATGTCACCAGCAAGTTCACTGACACCAGCCCTGCGCGCTCATCCGAGAGGCTGGCGCGCAAAAGTCCTGGGGACAGAAGGTGGCAGTGCATTCCTTCACTGAAAGCGAGTCTGTACGCGCTTTCTAGGCACTGAGCCACGCCCATTCTAAGCGGGGATCCACTCTGACCCTGCCCAAGTCCCTCACAGGGGGGGATCCTAGGCGGATACTCCATCAACGACCACGCCCCTCAGCCCACCTCTGGAGTATCCTAGACCAGCGCTCCATCCAGACCTCATTCCCAGCTTATGAGCTGTATGTCTGAGCCACGCTTCTTGTCCGTGGGGTTTTTTTTTTTGTTTGTTTGTTTGTTTTTGTTTTTTTGTTTTTTTTTCTGTTACCTTTTCATCATCTCCCAATCAGACGGGTCTCACTTTTACCCCTCCCTGCAGCAGCCACCAGAGGGCACCATGAGCATTGAGTCGCTGTCTGCCCACAGCCTTCCACAGGCTCCCACCTCCCTCAGGGAATCTGTGATATGTCCACCCTCAGCCCATTCCAGGACTGAGTGTCACAAGAATCCCCCAGCTTGTGTCACAACACACAGGGGAGTCCTTTTCCCAGCTTACCTGTGCAGTCCCCTAAGCCTGAGGTGCTAGCCCCGGACACATCTTGCTCAAACATGGCACTGAGGTTGGGGGAAGGGAACAGAAGTAGACTTATCAGAGAATCCTTTGCACCCAGTATGGCACAGGGAGGGGAACGAGGAGTGTGGGTCCTCAGGTGCACCCCCAGCATGTCCCCATTCCCTGTACCTGGTTCCTGGTCTGAGGAAGATGCAGGAACCATCAGGGGCCCACCCGCAGTATGGATCCTGGCTGCCAATACAGTTCCTAGGACAGAGCATGTAACAGCAGCTCAGGGCACCTGGGCCGTGTGACTTCCGGTCACCACAGCTGTGGTGGACTCAGAGTAGTCTTGGAAGTAGAGGCTCAGGTCTGAAGCATGGCCCCAAGTCTGGGCTGGACCTGAGCCCACACAGCCCAGCTACACAGCCTCCCCACTGATCCTCCAATACAGACCCCACCCTGCCCCAGAGCCTTTGCACAGCTGTGTCCTCTGTCCAGTTCACCTCTCCCTCCTTGAACCAAAGCTTTTGAATGAAATCAGGCTCTCCTCCTACCCTTTGCCTCCCACCCTGTGCCAGCCTATGGAGGTCACTCACTTCATGCACCCCGAGTACAGCTGGCAGCGGGCGACAGGCACACGGACCACACAACGGGGGAAGGCCGCCAGCAGGCCACCTGAGGCTGTGTCCAGCTCCAGGCTCAGCAGTCGCTGCCCCCACTCACTACCACTGCCAGGTTGTCCACACCTAGGCACACAGGGTGGCGTGTGAGGCTGGTGTGCCCACCCGTTGTTCAGTCAGCCACTCCCACTTCCCTGGTTATCTCCAGACCTGTCAGGCCGGTAGGTCTCAAACTCCTCCAGGAAGACACTGGGCCCGGCAGTCCCTGAGACACTGGCATTGGGCCTCACAAGGAACTT